AAAACACCAGAAACACGACGCAGAAAACGAAAAATGAATACTGGCAATCGAAGGTGTTTAATTCAACATTAAAAAAGCTAACCCTTTTCTGTCCTCAAGAGAGCTGAAAACAGAATTCAATTTAGATGTAACAGGACGAACCATTAGGTACAAGTTGGCGGAAACCAAACTTCCAGCCAGAATCCCGGTACCGTTGCTGAGCCTTAAAAATAAACACAACAGATTTGCTTTTGCCATAAAACATCTTTTCCGTAAAAATTGGAAAAAAACGTGCTGTAATATGATGAGACCAAAATTAATATGTTTGGATCTAATGGAAAACAGTAACGGTGAAAAACGGTTAAGCACAGCGGGAGTTCCACTATGTTATGGGTCTTCTTCCCGGAGAAAGGCGTTGGTCCAATATTTTGGATAAAGAACAAAATTTGCGCGGTTGGAAACATATTACAGACGCTAAGGCTTTCCTATGCTGAAGAAGAAATGCCATTACTGCAGGATAATGATCCCAAACATGGATCGAAACTGGTAAGGTAGTGGTTTAAGAAGGAAAAAGTGCAAGTTATGGAGTGGTCGTCTCAATCGCCAAACCCCATTGAACACATTTGGGCAGACATTAAAGAAGAGAATCGGGCCTTTTAAAGCCAGCAATAAAGACGAATTGTGGCGCCACATTCTAAAATCGTGGTATTCCATTCCGAAAAGTGTGTGTGCAAACTTGGTGAATTCGGTGAACTGAATATGCGACGAGGTAATCTGGCAAGGCGGCGGTTTAGTAAGCAATTGAAACAATGATATTGAAGAATTTTTGGGTCAAAGTTTAATTTAGTTAGAAATATTACTTTGTTTCTATTATTTCTTCCAGGCCAAAATTAAAAGATAAGCCTCAATTTATTTATGGCTTATTGCACTTGCAAAAGAAGTCTAGATTTTAATTAACGTGAATAAAATGTACGAAATCGGAATGTATTTAAATGAAAGAGTTCTTCAAACAATAAAAAATATATGAAAGCTGTACGTTTCTATTACTTTTTTCCAACATTGTATGTATGCATGTACATGCATGTGTATGTAATGTTGCATAACAAGCCTATTAATTCAATTATTTGTTTTCTTAACTCGGTTAAATTAAATTTTATGAATGAATACATTTATTTGTAATTTTTTATGGAATCGGCATGGGCATCGGCATCGGCCGATTCTTTCCCCATAATTCGATTAATCGGCATCGGTACCTGAAAAAATTGGAATCGGTCGGACTGTATAGTTAATGTGTTTGTAGGGCTTAATTAAGTTCAATACAATATTCGAGGATATTGCGATTCAGGAGTAAAAAAAAAACAAAGAAATCAAAAATTATCTCAGGTTGATTTTGGCAAACCCTAAATACGATGTTTTTTATTTTTCGTATCCAATTCATATATAGCTCAATATCCTCGAACAAAATTTTTCTTAACACAGTTTGAAAAATTAATGCCAAAAATTTTCAATTAAAAAAAAATAAAAAAAAAAATCGCATCTGCATTTCACATCCATAAACATGGTTCCAAAGGATTTTTGGAAATAGTGCCACTACAGCTGAAAATATCCTCATACAAAGCTTAAAACTCGAAAGTGCCGGCATACTTCAAACTCTTGTAGGGTTGGCATTCCAAAACGGAAGCAATAGAGATTTCAGCGAAAGTATAAAAAATTTCATTATGAAACTAGGTGAGGATTTTGGGGGAGGCATTATTTATCTGAATTGATACTCTCACAATGTAATTACTAATAGTATTAAAGAAATTTGTTGTTAAATTATCTCCAATGCCGCCACCAAATTTTTATACAAAATGTTACTTATCACTTATATTTTGTGTGATATACTATATTTGCAATGTTCACGTGCGTATATAGTACTTTTAACATATACCTATCTCTTCACAAATTTTACCACTTTTCACAAACAAACAGAAATGAGAATGACCGATAATAAGAGCAAATGTGTGCTGTCAAATGATAACACACCACAATTAAGGGTTTTTATTAAGGTGCGGAGTTTTTTCAAATAAGTCAATATTTCGATATATGCATATCGAAAATTTTTAATTAAAATCGCGTGATTTTTTATTACACATTTTCGCCTGCGGCGCTTTTTTCCAATTAATCAGTACTTCTATATACATATGTATATCGAAAATTTGTAATTATTTTATTACATATTTTCGCCTGCGACTAAATACATACTTCGATATATATTGCGATGCTTTTTTTTATAAAAATCGATACTTCAATAAATCTTAAAAATGTTTAATAGAAAATCGTGCGATTATTTCGTTCTTTTCGTTTCTTTTTCGTTTTCTGTTTTTTCGGCATTTTTTGTTAGTGCGGCAGCACATTTCATTTCAATTGGTCTACAAGGGAAAAAGTGGGGTTGAATTTGGCTTTTTTGCAACTTTAAATGCACATTAGTTAAAAGTATAAGCCTCCGGTGGACGGGCCCTTCAAATTTAAAATCGAGGCTCACCCTAATATTTATTTTCTTTCAAAGCCTAAATCCATTCCGGAAAATTTTCCCCTATTTTAAACATATTTGCTTATTGCCGATTGTAGGTCACCAAAAATATGAATGAGCAAGACCTAGACTCGGACAAAAAAAATTGTAATTGCCTTATAAAAATACTTTAAACTCTGGGGTGTACGGCGAACTTTTTTATCTGCTGTAAGGTGGTACGGAATAATGTAAATACTTATGTTCATAACAGTAACTCTCGGAATTTTTATCACCACTCACGCATGGTTATTTACCGCAATCACTTCACGCATGAAGTTAATGTACAATTCCCACGATTAAATGTACTGACATACAGACGTCTTCACACATTTACATATCGTCGATGGGTAAAAGATTGTCGTAAGCGCCATTTTGACGATTTTTAGTTCTAGATGCAGTTATATATTTTGAAATAAGGTCTTTCGATTGGTGTTATCAGTTTTTAGATATCTCCTTTAGTTTCCGGATATTGACTACAATCTTTTTGATAATTTAGTAAAAATTTAGTTAGTGATGCAGCCATATTAAACTAATCAATATCTTAAAAATGGCGTTGTCCATTTTTAGATATCTTCTTTAGTTTCCGAGATATTGAGTAAAAAGTGTCGTTAATTTGGTAGAAATTTTGATCACATTTTGTCGTATTTCATACAAAGTGGGTGCCAAATTGTGGACAAATGACGCTTACGACAAAATTTGACTAAATAAAATCCTTCATAAACTCAAAACTAATTAACAATAAACATTAAACATTCAAAATTAAATAATTTAAGAATTTTGTGAACTAATAACATTTTCATTTTTCTATCTTCGCGGTTTTGAGAAATTGCATTCCAAATTTCAATCGCGATTTCCCACAACCTGCCGAAATTAACATACGACAATCTTTTACCCAGGCGACGCTATGTACATATTGATGTCCATATGTAGATTAGTAAGCGTGAATATTTGACTCAGCTCTGAAAGAACCTGTGCATAACATTGTTTCTAGTATGTACGTATGTATGTATGTGCCAACACATGTATTAGGGATGTTTCGAATGTAATTTTTTTCACATACGAATGTTAGGAATAACATTAAAAAAGCTATCATCTTAAGTCATCGTGTTATTACTTAAAAATTTTTTTAATTATTTGAACATTGAACGAGTGATTAACCTATAATGTGTTTTAATCCAGTAGTCAAAGATCAAAAGAGGCATATTATATTTCAGAAAAAGTAATTTTGCTACCTTTTCTCTCATGAGGCGATTTCTTTGAGGCTCGTATATAAGGCCGGCTGCACTGAAAAATTGTTCACTGCCAGGGCTGCCAACTATCCTTAGCTATGAGGTGCCATATTGAAGATGAGAAAGTGCCAAAATGTGCCAAATAGAAAAATAAAAGTGCCAAAAAAGGTGACATTCTTTTAAATCATTCCCATTTAGCAATAAAATAAGAAACACATTTTCAAAACAAACGTGCAATGATAAAATAAGATAAACCAGTTGAATACCCTTTATAAATTAGAAAATTTTGGTTGAGAAAAAGGAGTACCTACACGCAAAAGATTTCACAAAAATGTATTTACAAAAGTGCCATTTTGGCGCTTTGTGCCGAATTGAAAAATTAAGTGCCATTTGAAATAAAATAGGGCCAAAATGGCACGGTTTGAGCCAAGTTGGTAGCCCTGCACTAGGAACGCTGGCGGGTGGACCGCACAAATGTTTGCGGCCCAGATCTGTCAATTTGTCGTATTTTAGTTTAGTTTTCCACCAATCGAGAGAATTTTCACCGAGATGAGCTCGTTTTTCTTTATGATAGGCTTTCAATTGAGCTTGAATTTAAAATTTTTTTAATGTCTCCAGGTTCAACATCCGAGCCTTCGCTTTCGCTGGAGGAATCTAAAATTATTTCTAGGTTGCTTAGCAGTACTTATTGAAGGCACATCAATATTGCTTGATATACTACTTAACCGTTTACCGCCTGAAGCTAAAAGCCGGTTATTGTCCGCACCCTGGTTAGACTGACTTAGAGCCATTTCAACAATATTAGAGTGGACTCTCTGCCCATGTGCACATTCGAATTCGCAAAACATGTGTAAAATGATGCGAATCATTCGTATGACGGATGCGAATGCAAAGATTCTCAACATCCCTGACATGTATGTTTGAATGTAGGAGCGTTCATGCATATGAAATATGTATGTACGTATCTTGCTCACATGAATGGTACATGACAATTGTTAACTGCTTATCTGACCTCTAATGTGTTAAATTTAACACATTCATTTTAAAGACAAAAAATCACTGCATGATATTTATTTTTGCGTTTTTTTTATCGATAATCACCAACCTCATATTATTACATAAAAGCGCGCACAAGTACATTTTGCAAGAACTTAGCACTGATTACATCAGAGCAATTTACACCAATCATACCGATATATTAAGAATAAGTGTGAATATTTTAGTTAAGCACTCACTCTTACTTTTGTTTATATATTGGACTATACTACGCAGACAAAGTAGGTAGGTAGATATTGTCTGCTTTTATAGTTAGGTTCACCACTTCGGAGAATGCAAACTGTTGCAATCTTGCACCTTCTCATTCACCAGCGACTGTGCAACTAAAAACAGAAAGGAATTGCTCTTGCTAGTTTCGTGCGAATCGAGTTGATACAGGAAAGTGCTGTTGGAACTCTGAGAGAGCTAATCAAATAACATTTACAGTAACATCGTTATCTAAGAACAATCGAATAAACTCAACATTCACAATTATGAAAGCTTTAGATCTCCCAGCCAATTGGCAAAGCTCGAAAATCATTCTTAAGTCTTTCAATCAAATTACCTTTTATACATGTTAAAAAAAATATATTGTAGTAGGACAAATGATACCTTTGTACATACATATGTATGTATGAAAGTGTGTACATTATTGTACGTAACGGTACTAGAACGCGGCATTTGGCCTTAAAGTATATGACAAAAACGCCTTTTTAAATATTTGAACACGTCGTGAGTTCTCTATTGCGGGGAAAATTTTCCAATAATGGACCAGGCTTTGAAAAAAAGGGTAATGAGGGGGTGTAGAGGGGTTCCCCCCGATTTTAAATCTGAAGCCGCCGGAGGCTTATAATTTTTAGGTAATTAGTTGTTAAAGTTGCAAAAAATGTCAAATTCAACCTCACTTATTCGTTTGTACGGCGATTGAACTAAAACTTCGGTGCTGCCACACATCACGAAAAGATGTCGAAAAACAAACTGAAAACGGAAGCAGTGAAAACGCACGATTTTCTATTGAATATTTTCAGTAGATATGATTCGAAGTAGTGATTTAAAAAAAATGCGGCGCATGCGAAAATTTCCACTATATCGAAGTGTTGATTTTTTCTTAAAGCACGCCAATTTTTGATTACAAATTTTCAATATGTGTATATTGAAGTATTGAATTAAAAGAAAGGCACCGCAGGCGAAAATTTGTAATAAAAAATCGCGCGATTTTTTATTAAACATTTTACTTATATATCGAGGTATTGAATTAAAAACAAGTAATTTTTAAGCAAAAAAACCGACTTCAATTCTCTATAAAAATTTAGGAGTACCGTTAATTTTTTCATGATCCATTGATCGGATCTAAACCAGATTGGTATGGGACCACCTGTGAGACACTACCTTTCCGATGCAAAATTATCGAAAACGGCTGACGTGGCCCAAAGTTATGCGGTAACATACATAAACAAAAAAATGTTCCGACGAATTGATATTATATATATTATATTATATTAGATACTAGCCAATGCCCGCTTACTTCGCGGCGCCTAATAAGAGCTTTTCGTTGGCCAATTCAAAAGAGCGTTTAAAAACAAAATTAGTCTGTAAAGTCAAAATTTTTGATTTAAGTTGAAACCACTAAGGTGCAGTATCCTCCTCACACATAGGCCAATAATAGAAACCTGTGATACCATATGGAATACCTATCCCTTTTGGTGTCATGAGCTTTACCAATGGTCTTATTTCCACCCGTGAGATCTCTGCCAAGCATGCGTAATCTTTTTGTATGATCTTGCAACTACAACATTGGTGCGATGCGTATGCCAATAAAAGTTCTTATAGAGAAACTCAAGAGCACAGAAGTGAGTTTTCTGTTATAGGAGGGCCAAGAATCCTCGCTGTCATATAGGATGAAAAGTTTTCCGGTACATTGCTAAATGAGTCGTGTGATCTCTTTAGTATCTTTCAAATGGAGCAATTGATATACCTACGGTGATCTTTCCTTGTTAATTCACCACTTTTACAAACTTAACCCCATCCTTCATTTAGACATCTGAAAACTAAATTCGTATAACTTAAACATAGGGCCAAAGCAGAGCAACCACGGGGTTTCTATACATTTCGGTTGCAGCGCCATCCATTGGGTTCATTTTCTGTAAAACCATTGCTTACCATAAAATGAATACGTGTTATGAATTTCAACCTTAACTCCAGCGGCACTAATTGGGTAAATTTTTATCAAAAGAATTTTCCATCATACAGGTACATAGCTCACATTTAAAATTTGAACGAAATCGGTTAATAAATACGATTTTTATAAATAACTCTACTCCAGCACCACCTAGCGAGTTTTCTAGTAGCATGTAATAATTGTATGTCAGATAACCTCCGACAATCTGACGGAACTCTATTCAGTGGTTTTTGAGTTTATTCCGAACAACGAAAACGGCTATCATTTTATGCAAATAGGTATGTAGGTATAGGGCAGTCTATAACGAAACCCGAAAAATCAAAGCTCCATTCTTTGTGCAAAATTTAAAAAAATTCTTCAAAATTTTCACATAAATTTTACCTTTTACTAAAAACTAAAAACAAGGTTACAATATTTCAATGGGATTTAGAAATCTAGGAGAAAATGGTTCCCAATCGAGTGATACTTGCGCGTTTACGTAAATGTATATCGATGCAGTCTTTCCAATAATTACCACTTTTCGCCATAAGTACGGTATTGATAAAAAATGTAGCTGTGTAGAATTTCAGGACGTTAGCGTAAGTAGTTCCAGAGATAAGCTATATGGGAAGTTCAGTTTGTATGGAAGGAAGGAGCCACGCTCCTTTCCTATGCACCAGTGCTAAGTTCAGTTTCCCAGCGTAATTGGTTTTAGAGATATATTGGTTTCTTACGTTTCAGTCTGTATAAGAATTTTAGGAATATCTCGAGCTACATACCGAGTAAATTTTTGGTCAGAATATTTATTTTCAAGGTGTTGCCAAATATGAACCAAGTCGGTGCAGCCGTTTAGTAATTTAGTGAAATACATTGTAAAGAGAACTGTATGAAATTGTTAAACGTGACGTCTCAGATTTCTTAATTTTTTGGCAGCAACAACGAAAAACCTTCCACACAGAAAAAAAAAAGTTTGTGGTTATATCAAGGCGAAATTTTGAGAACGGTCCGTTGCTAACTCTAAATATAAACTACGACACACTAGAAAAAGTTAATACGTTCAAATACCTAGGAATAATGATCGACGATAAACTAAAACAAAAAAAAAATTGATTCTATATTTTCAATTAAAGCTCTAGCAATATGTACATCGGTGAAAACTGCATTTAACTCCATACATTAGCTTTTGCGTGATGCGCTTACAAACATTCAGACAAGCATACCAAAATTTTATATTTGGCCCTATTAATTTTTCTTTAACATATTCTCAAATACTCTCGTTTGAATCCCATATGGCAACACTTAGTTTATATTATAAATTTAACTGAATTAAAGTTTTCAAACCCGCTTCAAGAATATTTCATTTATTTTACAAATTTTAATGAATACAATTTTTCAATCAGATGGCAAATCCCCTAAAAATATTTTAGCATTAAAATTTCCTAGCCTCTTTAGTTTGATGCCAATATTGCAATATTTAATTTATGCTATCAATTAAATTAAATTAAAGTTTTCAAATAGGTGGCAACCTTCCCCAAAAATATATTCAGCTGTAAGCCTTTGTAAATTTCTTTCTTTTGACAGCCATATTGCAGTATTCACTTTACCGTATCAATTGACCTAAACTGAAATTTTAAACACAGGTGGCAACTCTCTAATTTCTTCTTCTATATTGGAAGCTAGATCTCTAGCGATACATCGGTGAAAACTCTGCATTCAATTCCATGTTTTCGACTGATGTGCGTACAAATATACAGACAGACAGAGATTCAAAAATTCTAAAAATTGTTTATTTGGCTTCTGTAGCTTAAATAAAAACCCACCATATTAATTTTACTTTAATATCTATAGGGTACAGACATCGACCTGTTACAATTTTATTATATGTATAGATGTAGATATAGATTTCATTTATTTTATCAATTTAATACAATAAAATTTTTCAAACAGGTGGCAGCCATCCCTAAAAATATTTCGGCAATATAATTTCCTAACCCCTTTCAGTTTGATCCCCATATTGCAATATTCAATTTATCTTATAAATTAAATCAAATGTACATTTTCAAACAGGTGGCAACTCTAAAAAAGTATTTTAGGCTGTAAGCCTTCTTCAGCCTCTTTCTTTTGACGCCCATATTGCAGTATCCATTTTTTCTTATCAATTTACTTAAACTCCAATTTTCAAAAAGGTGGCAGCTATCTAATTTTTTTCTTCCTATATTTTAAGTTAGACCTCTCGCAATACATCGGTGAAAACTGCATTGAAATCCATGCATTCGTTTTCGAGTGATGCGCGAACAAACATACAGGCAGACAGACAGACAAAAATTCTAAAATTGGTTGATTTGGCTTCTGCTGCTCTAATAAAGACCCCACACATTAATTTTTCTTTAATATCTATAATGTACAGACCTCGACCTGTTACAATTTTATTATATGTATAGATATAGATATCTAGATGTAGATTTAGATTTCATTTATTTTATCATTTAATTCAATAAAATTTTTCAAACAGGTGGCAGCCCTCCCTAAAAATATTTTCGGCAGTATAATTTCCTAAACCCTTTCAGTTTGATCCCTATATTGCAATATTTTATTTATCTTATAAATTAAATTAAATGTAAAATTTCAAACAGGTGGCAACTCTAAAAAAATATTTCTGGCTGTAAGCCTTCTTAATTCTCTTTCTTTTGACGCCCATATTGCAATATTCATTTTTTCTTATCAATTTACTTAAACTCCAATTTTCAAACAGGTGGCAACTCTCTAATTTTTTTTCTTCCTAAATTTTAATTTAGACCTCTAGCAATACATCGGTGAAAACTGCATTCAAATCCATGCATTCGTTTTCGAGTGATGCGCGAACAAACATACAGACAGACAGACAAAAATTCTAAAAATGCTTGATTTGGGTTCTGGTGCTCTAAAAAAGACCCTCCACATTAATTTTGCTTTAATATCTATAATGTACGGACATCGACCTGTTATAATTTTATTATATGTATAGATTATATTTTTTGAAGTCGGTTAAAAAGCGCCGCAGACGAAAATTTGTAAAAAAAATTGTGAGATTTTTGATTAAAAATTTTCAATATTTCTGGAAATATTGAAGTGTTTACAAAAGCGCCGCAGGCGAAAATTTGTAATAAAACATCGCGCGTTTTTTATTACAAATTTTCCATATTTAT